GGGGGGGGACTAGTAACCGAGAGGGGTGATAAGTTATGGACACATCAAGTAAGTGCCTAGGCAAGTGCCTAAGCAGCCATAAGAGTTACCTACCTTGAACTGGTCAATCGTAACAAAGTCTGGGAACAGAGGGAACACGTCCTCGAGGCTCAAGAGAGAGGATTCACGAAGTAAGGCCGTCGCCTCCTGTAGATTGCTCTTATCCGAGATCACATGCCGTGCTGAAGAGGCAACGCAACGCAAAATATACAGCATACGTATGGATTTGCAAAAGAAAATGAAAAGGCTAATGATGTCTGCAGTGCAGAAACGCACCTATGCGCAACCAGAGGGCCCTTTGAGTGTCAACTTCGAGAGTCTCACTGTTTACGATTTCCTTTGCGAGCTCGACATTGTTCTGTGATAGGAATAAAATTGGGGACAAATGTGGTAGAGACAAGTTTATTTGTTTGCAACCAACAGACAAGTAAAGCAAGCAAGCAGGTGAGAAGGGCGCCCATTAGTGAAGTTACGGGATATGGTCGTACTATTGCGCCTTGGTGCTCAATGTAGAGCCTTCACAAACAGTCAACCAGCGACAAGCAGGGTGCGGCTAACACGCTAGAAATAGCAGCACTGGTACCTGTTTTGTCATGGTCATTTGCACGAAGTGAGACATGCAAAGTCAGGAAAATTATCTCGTCGGAAGGCTATGAGAATATCGTTTTGAAATAATATGCGGGTGAGCGAACGTCAACGCCGAGGGAGAAGGAGAGAGTTACAGGGCTTGTTGGGTCAAAAGCAGACAGAATCAATCAAAACTGACAGATCTTCCGATATACCTTAGCTAGAGCCTCCTCAACAGCCTGCTCATACAGGCCGAGGGACTTCAGGAGGAAAATTGTTGACCGCAGACAGCCTTTCTCCATACTGGTTCGTAGAGCAAAACCAGGATCGTAAGGGATTCCTATAAAGGAAAAGTAACAGGTAAGAACAAGTAGGAGGAGGAGGGCATTTCCGAAAATGGTTGGGGGTAAAATTAGCATAAGGCATTGGTGATAGAAACGAATATGTCTCCCCCCGGACATAAGTAAAGAGAAAGGACACCCTTAGGAACAGTAGTGACATTGTGCTGATGTTCCAACATTAAACGAGTTAACATCGTCAAATCTGAGTATCATATAGTGCCTCATAGTATTTATAGACGGTGATCAGCATCTTAGTACATTACAGTCCACGGACCGGCTCGGAAGGTAGCTGGAGCACTGGAACGGTAGTAGGGAACTCGAAGGCTTATTGCACTTTCCTCACTATATAAAATCTGACGCGATTGAAGCTATCACAGTGGGTTAAAAGACGTGGTTTGGAAAGTTGCCAACTGGCGGGATAACTTGGGTCGCACAGTCAGCCCTGCATGTTTGTGTAAAGTGGTGGACGGAAAGTCAGGCTGTAATGGCTTATTCTTAATGCCTGACGTTTCGAAATCCGCCACAGATCCATCATCAGAGATACGCTAGCAGAAACGGGTAATTCGTACATAGGGAGTTCCAGTATTTATAGTATACAGTGGGTAGCCAGATTACCAAGCAATCATCACGCCCAAGTCCACCAAGTGCGACGAAACTTCAGCAGGTCACGACCCGCATGCCGGTCTGTTGTGAATGTGGCCAAAGCTACGATATCGCCGTCTAATTACGCCTTATGTGAGCTCCCAAGGAAGAACACAACAAGAAAGGGACAATGCAGAAGTCTTAGAATAAGCCTAGTACATTATACTTAAGCAAGCGAATGCACACAAGTTGGGCCAATGAGATTGTGGTCTCAAGTAAGACGCGACTCCGTTG